AAAAGATTAATCTACACAACCATATATTTGTTTATTCACTTCATATTAATTAATTGAATAGCACTCACAACTCATACATTTTTAAATTACTTTATCACATATAATATTCAATAACATGTCATTTCTATCAAAACATTTCTTAATTCAAAAATATATTATTAAAGCACTTGTAATCACACTTAACATATCAAATACTTTTCTACTTTTCGAGTATTAAACCGTAAATTTAATAATAATTTACTTCAATTATTTATAAATGGCAATTAATTTATGTAAAACATAAAATCAATAATAAAATATTTTTAATAAAGTTATTATTAAATTAATATATCTTGAAAAATAATTTTCAATGAATGGCTTTCTTATAAAAATTTATTAATTTTTTAAAAACTTAACAGTAATGTCCGAATTATGGCTAAAAACTATACAAATTTAATTAAAATTTTGTTTAAATAAGTTTTGCCCAAAACTTGTGGCATTATTTCGCTTTTTGTTAATAAATCATTTTTTGACACCTTATTTGTTGCAAAATATAAATTATTATGTATGTGAATAAAACACATTAATATTTAAAATATCAACAATAACAAATTTGCTTAATTTTATACATTTTTGTACAAATTTTATTTCATTAAATGCTCTATCAGTTTATATTGCAATCAAAGTTTTCCATAACAACTATTAATCTGAATATCTTTAAAAGAATATTCATTTTTCATTTCAATGCAATTTTTAATACAAATTCTTGTTGTAAACCAATATCTATGACTGATTTCTCTCAAGTCTAAAGACTGTCTTCTCATATATTTATTAAACATAATTTAAAATAGTTTTCAAAACATTTTTGAATTTATATAAAACAGAAAACCCAAACAAATTCCTCTTGGAATTGATTCCTGGAATTTAATACATTTACAGAAAATTATTAAAATTATGAATTATTTATTTATAAATGTTTTGTGGCATTCATTTCAATATAATCTTAAATTTAAAAATAAAACCATTATTAATTTGATTTGAATTTTAATCTCGATAACACAGATATTGAAATAACATTCAATACTTGATTACAAACGCATAGAATATTCTGTAATAATAATAATTTTTGTGAAAATCATTGGTTTAGGAGTGAAGACGACCACAAGATTCTGCGTATAACCAGATATTTGCCGTCAGTTTTGTGTTTTGTGAAACGAGTTCAACACAACTCTCTATACCATTCAAAAAACACTTCCAAACAATTGTAGCTTTCATTTAGCATTGCGTTTGGATTATCTTAAAAAATTTATATATTGTGTATAAGAACTAAAACAACGTTAATATTATTCAACATAATATATGCTCATATATTCTTGAGGTAAGATTTCTTTAATTACTTTTGTGTTTTTGTGTTACATATGTTGTAATTTTTAATATTATTTGTGCTGAATATACAATATTACAAATACTATGTTAATTCTGTAAATGAATTATTATTATAAAAACAACAATAGTTTTAGTTTCAAGTGTTTACGACTTGAATGTGTTGTAAAATATATGCTTAAAAAGTAATAAATATAATAGTTTTTTGAGATTTTCTACTCTATATTTATATATGTATTTTAATTCAATGAATTGATTTGAGAAACTTTTATCATCATTTATCGATTAATATTTTTATATAAACTTTATATATATTATATTCAAGAAAAAGGAAACTTTCATTTATTGACTGATAAACAAAATGCTGTTTTATTTGTGAGATATTGCTCTTAACGTAAATTTATTAATATGAAAGAGAGTTTTATTATTGATATTTGTCTGTCTGTCGTCGTGTGTCTATAATAAATATTTAATATAAAATACATTTCATAATTGAGATAATAGTTAAGTTGTCATCTTATAAAAACAATATCAAACACTTAATGCCTTAAAAACAAATCTTGTAAACCGCATAATATAGTAGTTCTATATCTATATTACAAATTATTAATCAATCTTACAATGTTGATTATCAATGTTAATAAATAAGTTATTTAAAATAACCAATGTAAATAATAACAATACAGATTTTATTATTAAACGCGCTCTCTCTCTCTCTCTCTCTCTCTCATTCTACAAATTATTCTGCATTTTTAATAAATGTTTTCCAGAATTTGTGATAAATTTCTATTTTGTCAAAATAATTGTGAGATAAGGAAATGTTGGCTTAACTAAGACTTTGAAAGTGTTTCCATTCTTTCAATTTTCTCCTCAAATGTTTGATAATTTAAAGAAACAGATTATTCAAGCTTTTTATCAAATATAATCTTTTTATCAATTTTTAAATAATAATTTGTTTCTCTATTTCTCTCCCAATAAGCCCTGCATTTAAGCAAACATTTTATCAGAAATTTTGAGTAAAACCTTAAAAATTCTTATTTTTATAAACGATAAACAATTTTTGTTAGAAAATTAATTTTATTTTCTAATAAAAAATTTCAAATCTATATTTTAGACTAGTTTTATATAAAAACAGAAAACAACAAAACATTCAATCAATTATTTTATACATTAAATTCTTTATAGGAATTTGTTTTGTTTAAAAACATTGAAAACGTAACAAAAGTTATCACAAAATATAATATCGCGATTTATTGTAATCTTATTAATAAAGATAGTTACCAAATATACTTTTATTCGCGTTCTAAACAATAATCTTTGATTGGCTCTGTTTCTCTCGTTACCGAGTATGAACTAGTATAAACTTAAAATGAAATTTATTTTTCAAAATATTTTTCCAAAATATTATACAAAAGTCTTATTATAATCGATGTTAACTTTATTGTCAATACAGTATATGTCAGACTTTTATGACATGAATTAACATAACTGTAGTTTTCAATTCAGTTAAGCCTCAATATAAACAACAATACAGTATATCAACAACGATATAAAATATGAAAACAATAAAAATGTCAGTAAAATTGTATAAAATCAAATGTATTGTATAGTAATTGTATTGTAGTGTTAGATTATTTTTGCAATCAATTACAGAATTTGACAATTTTTCAACGATTGGAAACAAAAAATTGAAATAAAAAATAAAATTCTTATTCAATTGTCTGGAATATTCTGTTGTAACGTAAACGTATAGAATTGGTGCAATTCACTTATATTTTAGCATTTTCTAAATATTAATTAGAAAATTGATCATAATTATTGTTTATAAATTACAATGAGAATTATTTTGGATACTTTGAGAGACACATCTATATTTGCGAGAACTTTATTCTTTTATAAACAAAAAACTTTCCCAAACTTATTAAACAAAAAGCAAAAGTTATAAAAAATTGTGATAAATAAGTTTCCTAATACAGTACACTATATATTAACGATTGATTGATTAAAATTAATTATAAACGTGATAATAAACATTGTTCCCATACATTTTTAATTAATTATTATTAATGTCACGTTACAATCATTAAATTTGATACAAATTTCTTATCAGCTTAAATTTAGTAAATGTTTTTGCATTGATATTAAACAAAGAAAATAATAAATTTCTCGGCTATTGTTATAAATTTAATATTTTTAAAAACTTAAGAATAGCTTTTGCACCAAATGTTGTTATATTAAGGTGTTTACAATATTACATAAGAGTTTTATTGTATTAAACAAAATGAAATAAAGCACAGATTTAGTGGCAATAATATGTCAAAATTCAATTTAATAATCAATTAATGAGTGAAAGCATGTGTTTATTGTGTTGGCGAACCGTAACAGCCGTTTATGACACGATTCTAATGTTTTTTAAACTAAATTCTGTTGTAAAGCTTTATTGAGCTTTTATTTGGTATTGATTTACGGCTCACTCTATTCGATGTTTGATTGACTCCAACGACACGGCATTACAATTGAAGCACAAATATGATAAACTTTCTGACATTCATTTGTTTAAATGCTAAACCATTTCTTATTATTTCACTTTCAGACAATTCTTATGGAAATTGTTGGTACAGTTTTTACCTGATATAAGAAACGCTGTTCATAACGACTCAATGATCAAATCACAGTCAATTTTATTGATATTGTAATATTAATTTTAAAATATGAAATACACGACCGAATAAAATTAATTTACAATAAATTTAGCAAATTCAAAATTAGATTTAGATTGTAACGATATTGTAAATGCATTTTCAATGTACCTTATATTTTGTAAGGAATTTTTTGTTTCACAAATCAATTCCTTATAAAAGGCAATTCTGTATTCAATAAAATTCATTCATTTTTTGTCTTTTTTTGCAATACCTTTGAGTCCATAGACTTCAGTAATTGTTATGCAAATTAATGACAAAATGCATTCAAAATAAGAATTTGACGCAAATATTGTGTTTAATATAAATATATGAGAGATTTTTGTCGAAGAAAGTGGTGCCGTATTTTCGTAAATATGTTTTATTCATATTATATTTAAGACCATATCAAGAATATTCTGTTTAAAATGCACAGAATATTGGGAATAGTTAGCAAAAAATGTTAGTAAAATAAACTAACAATTATGTGTTTCAGTAAAACATTTCTTACTCTTTAAAGAGTTAGATTTGATGAAAAATGTGTTCATAAAAGTCAGTGAAATGTATTTCAGTCATTAATGTCACTTATTTTATGACATTTTACTATATTTTTTAATAAAAAGTCCAAATGTACAGTAAGTGCATATTTAATATTCTGTATCCATTAAATATATACTGTATATACAAATAAGTATACCATGTTACTATTTATATACTGTGTCTTCCAAATAACAATCTAAGTATTTGTAAGGTTTGAAAATCACAAATAATTTTAGACTAGATGATTCCATTTTGAACCTGTTTTCACACAATTGTTATCTGATGACATCAAATTAATTGCATATATAATTTGCCCAGGTAAATATCAATGCTAAAAATATATATAAAATCTAGTAACGAATAAATGCGGTAGTTATTGCCATTTTAACCATTAGTTTTAATATTGAAATGTATTACGAATTAAATGATAATAAACAACTTTTAATAACAAAAATATTAATTTTAATGAAATGTATAAAAATGAATACAAAAATGATTTGATGCTATCATTTAATCCTAAGGTTGAAAATCAAATCAATTAAACAGATTTGTGGTCCAAATGTCTTAATCGGAAATTAGAAAAACATTTGAATTCATTTCCTAAGTTTCGATTGTGTTTGGGTTCAAAGTGCAGACATTCCTCTAACTCAAGACATTCGTGCATCAGATCCCTCATCACAGCTCCCGTACAGACCAACACCTTATCCTTTGCCAAGTATTTAATCGTTTCACTCGTTTTTCTCATACATTCTTCGGACAAAAAGGGCGGATCCGCGACCACCACATCGAAACACTTCTCTGGGAATCGTTGTCTCATCACTTCATCGATGGGTTCGTTGTAGTCATAGAAGACATAATCTGAAGCATATTTGGCTTCAAATCGTCGGTCAAATTCAAACAAAACCAATTCAATTGAATGGATGTCCTCTTTAGGCAACTTTGCGATCTCACGCAGTTTCTCACAGCCTGTGCTATATGTCCGCTAGCTGGAGAACTACCCGCGGCAGAAGCCCAGCAGGCTATGCGGGTTGCGCACGTAGTGAAGTAGCGTATCTATAGACCGGCACAGAAGGGTGTACCAAAACTGACTCAATTGCTGTCAAAAAAAGGATAATTGTTTCAAACAATTGATTCAATCACTCATTCAATACCCAATTCTCTTCAATATCTGTGAGTTTGGTGTTGTCTTCGGCCTCCAGTTTACGGTTGGTTTCCTCATAAAACTCTTTCAGCGCATTCAACGTGTGCTCCGAAAGCACTAAATCCGGATCAACGGTCTCTTCGGTGGTTTCCGATGACATCTCTTTAGCAACAAATCAAACGATAAGACATTTAACCAAAAAAAGTAATCAAAACATTGCGATCGCATTGAAGAGCATGTGTTGTGGTAGTGATGGTCACGCCATCACTCGATCCACACTTTGGTTTCGCTTTCATTATAAAGTTTTTTATTGTTAATCAAAATAATTGTAATTTAAATATAATTTTAAAATCTTATATAAAATTAATTATTAATTTCATTGATTTTGTCGCAAATAAATTGCAATTTGTTTTCGCATTCTTTCAAAAGGCTTTCGATGTCTTCGTGTGAATCACTTTGAGACCAATCGCCACGAGTTTTCTCAACTAAAACTACAACTGAATTAATCGCTAATTTACTCGAAGACAGTACTCGCAGGGCTTTAGTTGTGTCCAAAACAGCGCATTCGTGGTATTCGTCCGCAAGAAGTAAACAGTGTTTCAGAGTTTCGACAATAAGTTTGGGGTCTTTTTGCCAATCATTGGTCTGAACAGCATTTCGGTGACACTTCTGAAGGCATTGAATCACTTTCTCGATGTCTTTCTCTTTATTATTAATCAATAACTTCGCGTAAAGTCTCCATATTGTGGTCGAACCGCTACTCGTGGCCGCTATTCGGCCGAACAGTTCCTGCATTTTAACGGCCAGTTTTGCGGTCGATTCGCCGTTTCGGTCGACAATTCCCTCGCAAATAGCGTTCACTAAAATTGGTCGTTAAAATAGCAGTTACATAACCAAGAATTATAGTTAGTTAGCTACGGTGCTGACTTACCGAAGCCGCTTCCGGGGCTATAGATGCGTTTGCCGCTATATCAACAGGGTTTAGAAGGTGAGTACGTAACTACATTTGATCGCTTCTTGCAATGTCTTCCACGACCGGAACTTTTGGCCCAACTTTATGTACGCTTTCGACAGATTATTCCACGCCTCGAAGCTATTGGTCTCAAACTGAACCACTCGTCGGTAAGCAGTGGCCGCCAATTCGTAGTCTTCGGTAGACATGGCTGCGAATGCCAACCGAAACCAGACATCGATTTGCATTGAATTGAAAGCAACAGATTGTTGGAAATGAGGAATGGATTCGGAATATTGTTTTAAATTAAAATAATATCGTAGTCTTCGGTAGACATGGCTGCGAATGCCAACCGAAACCAGACATCGATTTGCATTGAATTGAAAGCAACAGATTGTTGGAAATGAGGAATGGATTCGGAATATTGTTTTAAATTAAAATAATAATTCCCTAAAGCCTTGTGAGCTCTCGGAAACTTGCGGTCAGACAACTGCAACGCCTTTTCATAATATTCTAAGTCATCGGTTGTGTCGCCTAAAAGGCAATATAGAAGTGGTGTCTCTTTATCCTTCAATTGATCCCTTATTATAGCCTCCGCTTTGTCTCGTCGACCGATTCTGTCAAAGAATGTTTCATTTTAGACAACTTTTATTCACAATTGAAATCATATTAAACTCAATACCTTTGGTAACAATCGATGACATCATCCCATAAATTGAGTCTCAGATATATATCTAACGCCGATTTGTTGACTCCAAGAGATACCAAAACATTAGCCAAATATCTCTCTGTTATCCAAAAGGGATTCGGAAGGACTGAATAGAAATGCTGTGATCTTTGAATGGTTTGAACCGAATTTAGATGTGATTCTCGAACGCAATCAACCAATTCATTGATTTGAGACATTGAACGCTCGACTCGTCTCCTCTTATCCTTTTCGAGTAAACTTCTCATAAGAAGACAATTCGTCAAAACGGACCAAATTCTCGTCTTTGAGATCAAAAATGCTAAATAAGAGTCTAATTGTTCGCTTAAGAGCTCATCAGAAGGCGAACCAATTCGTTGATAACATTTTATATAAGATAACATTAATATCTGTTCCGTTTCTGTCAAATCCATGGTCTCATTATTTGCATTGTCTTCTAATGACACAAACTTTATGCTATTGAGTAAAGTGTCGTCATTTAGGGCCACATTCTTTGGCAAATCACTGTTCACTTCCAATGCTTGTGAACATCCGTTCAAATCATTTGATGTCCTATTAATTTTGACCATTAGTTGCGGAACAGCTGTTTGTTGGTATTGTGTCCGCAGACCTAAGGCACCGCTCAATCCAATGGTTAGACCAGACATTTGTTGAGCACTTTCTAAGTTAGCTTTGATTCTCTCAATGTCTCCAAACCAGAGGAATGCGTTCAACAATTCATTGAGTAAATCAATCTTCAAACTCAAGCCAATTGTCTCATTATTTAGTATGAATTCTTCGATTGTCTTCGAGTCCAATAGGATTTCTTGGAACAGAGAATTTGAGGCATTTATGACAGAGATTTGGTGGATAATAGCGGATCTCATTCGCCACAAGACATGCACCACATTATCATCGGTTAAATGAGGTTTGATTTTATTGAACGCCAGACGAGACAACTTAAGAAGTGCCACATTTCTAGCCATTGGATAGCATTGTTGGCCATCACTGGTAAGGCTGTAGTCATACTTCAGATCCAACTCTTTTACAAATTGCAGACAATTATCAAAATGAGTGTCGTTTTCGATAAAAGAGAGGAAATTATCAAAAGTGTATAATTGAAGGCAAGAAATGCCAAAATAGAGGATAATTCGCAAAATGGTGTCTCTTTTGAGATCATATTTGGATTCAATTGAAGACAAGTCGATGTCGTTATCATCGAAATGAATGTCACGTAAAATCTCTTTAATCAACTCATTGTCCAAAACATTGCAATAGTTTTGTTGAATCAGACTTTCGATGAAATCCTTTTCCAATTGATGGCAATCTTTGGCCAACTCTTCAAACAAATACACGTCTAATCGTTGACTCATTTTCACGACTCAAACA